CTCTGTACACATTTAAATTTACATTCATCTCAGGCCAATTTCAACGTAAGTCAATTCTAATGTATGTCACTGCCACTGGATGCTTGAATTTCCTTCGGGATCAGTAAAGTATCTAGCTATCTAAACACCATGACCCTTCAAATAACACAACATCAAACTAACCTCCCGCTGGAACCTCTCCAGTGTGAGCTTTCTCTGCATCTGGTCCTGCACCCAGGCGTTTGCACAGTACTCCCCCTCCAGCAGAGAGGACCAGCAGTTCCCCGCCTCTCTGTTGGTCTTCATCAGAATGATGCGGATGAGACACTTGTCCTCTGAAGATGGAAAACAGACAAAACATGAAATGAGATAAATGTGTGGCTTTTCTCAATTTTTTGATTTTGGAGAGTAGTTCTTAAAGGTATGCAACCCACCTAGTGTCCATGTTGCCTCATCAGACATGGTTATGCCAAACAACTTTCCCTGAGGGAGCAGGATAAAAAATTGTGAGGTTAATGTACGTGTTCACAGTCAAACTTGATATGAAGTAGTGCTTTCACTTTACAGCAGGAGCCAATAGAAGAGGGATCACTGTGAGTTGGGTTAAATTCCAACCTTGACCATCACTTCCTTTACTCTTTTCCTTGCAGGATACTAATCTGTTCCAGGTGGAATATAAAGGAAGGACTTGTAACTGCTTGGTTTTAGTAAAGAATGGAGAAGAAACTGATTTTAAATCTGCCCAACAGATCCATTTCACACTGAGATTTTAATTCATCAATTCAGGTAATGAAAAGGTATAAGTCTAAACCACAGCCTATTTTTTCTTCGATTAAATTTAGGAATTATTTTGTATCAAATGTACATTTTCATTTTTGTAAATATTTTGATATTTGAAGTCTACAAATTATTTTCACTGTCACATCATATTTTTTCAGTTTCAAACTTTTGGCCTGGGTCTGAATTCCAGCATTGAATCAAAATTATTACAGTTTTTTTTTTCCCTGCACTTGTTTTAAATTGGAATACACTGTTGTATTTGTTCAAGAACAAAATCTGAACTTTCAGTTTCCAAATTTTGTTTGTTTTTCAATACCAATACAATTTTTTGCAAATAAGCAAACGATTGGCCCTGATTCGACTCCATACTGAGCTGGACCAGCAAACACCAACAGCATTAGAGTTTGTGTTCCATGAAACAAGAAGCTTTTCCAGTGAGTCAGCATGTACAAGACTGAATCCTGGAACTGACTAACTTAAATAGTATTGATATGAGTTTTCTCACTCTTACTTTTCCTGCTTTAACATGACATAATATCTGATGCTGCTCCAAACAACAACAAAAACAAGTACCTCCACTCTCAGAGTATAATTTGAAAACTCTCACTTTAAAGCTGACAGGTCTTCTTCTGTTTAATCACAATTCTTACTAACAACCTAAAGCAGAACATGTAAATAACACCAGCTCAGTTTAGATCACAACATCTTTGTATCACCTTGAATATCTCCTCTCCTTTCACTTGCAGCTCGATGTCTCTGGATCCCAGGCGGCACTTGACCTCTTTGGCCGTGGTCCCTTGCGGCACATGGACCTCGATGAACACCTCCTCCATGGTCTGGTACCAGGAGCCCCAGTGGGTCTTGCAGGGGACGACGCCGCTTCTCTCGTCGAAGTGCACCGACATGCTGCTGCTCCACTCCGGCTGACGGGTCGGCTGACAGGTCGGTTAGCTGTGCCCGGCTAGCAGAGAAGTTATGCTAACAGTTTGCTGCGGTCAGTCTTCACGAGACGACGGAACATGACGACACGAAGAACAGTTTGGTTCTGTTGGTTGAGTTGAATATGAAACTGGAAAACATGAAAACAAACTAATTCACATGGAAAAGCTCAAAATGTGATTCGCTTGTTTTGCCCCTCTAGTTCTCGAAACCTCTTCTTCTTTCAATGGGTTTCATTTCCGGTTATAAACAACTATATGGCTGCAGCGCCATCTGCTGTCTCATAGACGAAACTACAACTAGAAAACAACATGAGACACTGTATGTCAGGCTTATTATTATTTTTATTATCTACAGTATTATAAACTGATTTGTTTGGTTGAAGTCAAGTTTTTATTTCTGCTTTTATTATCTTAATATACACTAGAAACTAGAAGAATCCACTGTTTGTCTAAAAATGGAGCGGATTTACTAATCTGTTAATTAGATTACTGTTCCTGCTTTAGTGCCTTCTGTGTCCTTATGCATACCGACCAGCCACGGTAACGACACTCAACACACTACCTGAGCTGCTCTCACATCCGTCTTTTATTAAGTATGAGTTGATCAGACAGTTGAAGGTGAAGTTGGTGTTGAATGCGACCCAGGATGGCTGATCTGACACTGCCTTTGGTTACTTTTCTTTGCTGGATGAGGTAAGTCGTACCTAAACATGGGTCAGGGTACACTCAGTCTGGGAGTTCAACATTTTTTTTTCTTTGCAGCCTTGGTAGTGTAAGTGGAAACGAGAAGATTTACTCAGAAAACATCACTCGCATTTTGGATCGACTTTTGGATGGCTATGACAACCGACTGCGTCCTGGATCTGGAGGTAATTTCAATATCAAATCCTGAAGCCTTTTGTTCCTGAAGCCTCGCTTAGGAACAATACAGCATGACCCTTTAAATATTTAATACAAGTACACTGTGCCATGCTATTTTTGTGCGTCTTTTGCTGTAGCGTGCACTGTACAGCTGTTATTTATTATTGCAGGTGGGGTTACAGAGGTGAAAACAGACATCTTTGTCACCAGCTTCGGGCCTGTTTCAGATGTTAAGATGGTAAGATACTGCTCCTGTGAGGAGACGTGTGTGCGCTGACTGTGGGAGACGACAGCGCCTCAGTGACCACTGAATACCTACTTTATGGGCAATCTGCCATGAAACCATCTAATGAGCTTTAATCTGTTTGACCAGCTCTATAACTCTATTATTGATGGCCTCTAAATCAATATGACAACATGTCAGACAGAAGAAATGGCTGAATGGATTGATTAATGATCATCTGGGATGAGTGGCATCCATCATTACCTCATCATTTCTCCCCACCTTCCACTGCAAGTCGAAATGTATCTTCAGGATTACAGATGCTGATGAATTGTGTGGACTGCATCTTAGAAGTGATAATTTTACTGCAGCATGGTTACAGATATGATATGATATGAAAGGGTTGTTGCTAATATCTGATGTTTGTGCATCAGGAGTACACGATGGACATGTTCTTCCGCCAGATGTGGGTCGATGAGCGTTTGAAGTTCGAGGGCCACACTGAGATCCTGCGGCTGAACAATCGCATGGTGGACAAGATCTGGACTCCTGATACTTTTTTCAGAAACTCCAAAAAGTCAATCTCCCATAACATGACCACACCGAACAAGCTCTTCCGCATCATGCAGAATGGGACTGTCCTCTACACAATGAGGTGATGTTAGATCCTACAGTTGGTGTTTTGTTGATAAAAGTGTATTTTTCATTGAAATGTATAACTCAGGCTGATTTGCATGTGTCATCTTTGTGTCAGACTGACGATCAGCGCGGAGTGTCCGATGAGTCTGATCAACTTCCCAATGGACGGTCACGCCTGTCCACTTAGATTTGGGAGCTGTAAGTCTGGAACAATGACTGATGTGTTCACAAATAGAGGCAACTAGAATGGCACTCAGTGGAGTGCATACAGTTCCCTTAAATTTAATCAAGCTGCACCAAATTGCACAACTAATATTATCAGTCCTCTAAATACGATTTTTCTTCCTCAAGATCAAGGAAATTGCTGATAATGTAAAAAAGAAATGCTCTATCTTGCAATGTTTAAGGATGAGAAAATAAAAACCCTGGATCCCCTTTTTTGTCCAATCCATACCAAAATATGTTGGGTTTTCTTTTGGCCTATGTCCCATCCTTCCACTTTGTCTCATGGAAATCTGTTTAGTAGTTTTTTCATAATCTTGCTCACAAACAAACAGACAGAGGTAAACCTCCTTTGATAAGGCAACAATAATGTCCTGAAATGTGCAGATTCATAAAAGTGTGTTCTCAGATCTCTTTGCATTTGCAGATGCCTACACGAGGAATGAGATCATATTCACCTGGAGGAAGGGGCCAGTAGCATCTGTCGATTGTCCCAAAGAGTCCATAAGTCTTCTGCAGTACGACCTGGTGGGACAGACGTTGTCCAGTGAGATATTCAAATCAAATACAGGTAACTCTCGTCAGTCGTTCCAGCACTTAACGTGTAATTAAATGATTCTCATGAGTTGAATCTGCCAGAAGAAAGAGGTCAAATGAGTTTTTTCAAACTCTGCACTGGTGCCCATTACTCTCCCGCGGCAGAGCCGATGTATAAAAGCAAAGACTTCCTTGAGCAGCCGTCTAAGATGCTTAAGTGGTCAAGGCCTAATGCGTGTGGTGTGCCTTAAAAAAGAACTACAGGGTTTAAAGCCCATGAATGCACTGGCAGAGTGCAGAGAAGATGGAGTAGTGTGCATGCGTGTGTGTGTGCGGGCGCATGTGCGCGTGTGTGCATTTTCTCCTTTCACCAAAAGAGGAAGAAGTGATCCCCTGCTGTGAACCCAGCATATTCCTGGACCAGAGAGGAAAAGGATGAGGCAGGCTCCAAAGCATAGAGATGATATCCATTTAGAAAACACAGAGAGCGAGAGAGACAGCCTCTGTGTGTGTGTGTGTGTGTGTGGGTGTGAGTGCATGTTGCAGCATGTTTCTTGCTCTGTGAATGTCTGCATGCATGTGTTAGACGGAGCAGGGCAGTGTTACGCATAGTGACACTGCATGCTCTCCCTCTGCCCCCTCCTCACTCGCTTCTCCTTCCTTCATCTCGACTTCATCCCATTTCCAAATGTCTGCGGTGCTCCCTCCTCCTCGCTTTTTTTTGTCCTGTTCTCTCTCTGCTTCCTTCTCCTCGTCCCTCACATGCAGTCTCGCAGTCAGCTGCATTGTTGTTCCAGTAACAGCAGCATTTGTATCTGTACGTCCCTCTCAGCAGCTCTTCAGTTTCAAGGGCAGGCAAGGGCATCCGCTCTGTGCTCCCCTGCTCTGTCCCTCGGGGTTTCTCTCTTCACACGTGCTGTTTATCTTGCAGGTCACTACTCTGTGCAGGTGATCCATTTCCACCTCCAGAGGAAGCTCGGTTACTACCTCATACAGACCTACATCCCCCTCATAATGGTCGTCGTGTTGTCACAAGTGTCTTTTTGGATTAACAAGGAGTCCGTCCCTGCACGTACAGTGGCTGGTATGCCCCTCTGTCCACAATCCCATAATTAACATTCACTAATAATATCAAAATACGTCTGTGGCATGTGTAAGAGTACATTTATATGCTTGTCTTCCTCCAGGCATCACCACAGTGCTGACCATGACCACCTTGAGCATTAGCGCCCGTCAGTCACTTCCCAAAGTTGCCTATGCCACCGCCATGGATTGGTTCATTGCTGTGTGCTTTGCCTTCGTGGCATCGGCTCTGGTGGAGTTTGCGGCAGTAAACTACTTTGCCACGCTGCAGGCCAATCGTCTGAAGAAACGAAAAGCCAGACAAGACAAGCTGGAGGTGTTGGCGACCGGAAGCGACGATGACGACGCAGTTTCTGTGAGTATCTAACTTTATCTCATCAATAAATCCAGAATGGTCTGTCTGTGTACAGGCAGAAACATCAGTGTCAATGATGAAGGACAACATTCCAGCTGAAAGTTCACCGTCATCATAAAAGCAGAGCGATCAGTTTATCATGTTGGATGACTGACGTCTCGTCATCTCTCTGTGCCAATTCTTTTATTGTACAATCTGAATTATAAGTCAACTTTAAGTTTGCATGATTGCTCCTCCTCCAGTTTGGATATTACTCATAGAACAACAGTAAAATATAAAATAACAATTCAACATTTTGGGAAATTGTGGGCTTTGTCATTTTCATTGAGAGAGTTAGATGAGATGTCCAGCAGCTACATTGCGAATAGCACAGCTGGGCTAGCGGTCCCCCCTCTTTCCCCTTTCTCTTTATGCTAAGCTAAGCTTATTTAGTTTACAGACATGATAGTGGGTTTCTGATTAATATCCTGAATTCCTGAACTTTTCTTTTATAATATTAAAATACATTTTTAGAAATTGTTCTTTTATATATTTTTGTCAGCAGTAATAGGATGTTCCAGAGGTCAGAAAAACTCATCCGAGACTGAAATGTCACTCAGTTGAGCACATACCTCCATCACACCCAAAAGTCCCCTCATGAAACCACATAAAAAATTCACAGGATACAGATTTGCCCGCTAACTTATATATATATATATGAATCCCATAAACATGTATAATTTCTTTCATCAAGAACCATTCCATATCTCTGAGGAAATAACGAAAACATTGTACAACACTGTGTCTCCAAGTCAAAGAAAGAACCCAACAAACAGACAGAATAACAGTGTTGTAATAGTTATAACTGTTTTCCTAAACTTTGAGTCAAAGCAACATGCTCAGCTTCTGCTATCACTTTAACAAGGTGTGTGATTTCCATTTCAGACGCCATGATTTTATATACACAGAGTTGCTAATGCATTTACATAGCTAATTTACATAGCTAATGGTGAATGGAGATCCAGAGTCTCCTGCGTGTTGCAGAGAGTTTGATGCAGTGATGCTGATAATGAACACTAAGCCGGCAGCTTCCGACTCAGAGCGAAAGAAATCAACGCCACAGATATGGAAGTCAGGTTTTTTTCTATGCATTTCCAAGTAGTCGCCCTGCCTTTCCTGTTCTTGCCATTCAGGGCACACCACCCATTAAATAATAATATGTGCTGTTGTAGTGCTCTCATCTCCTGCTATACGCTTTATGCTAATACAGTAAGCCACCACAGCATCCTCCTGGGATCTGTCTCACATGTAAGGCTCATGGTTAGATGCTTTAAAAATAGCC